CGAGAACCAGATCTCCATTCTTCTGGTCATCACTTGATTTGTTTAATATAGTCACGAAATGCACTTTAAACGGCTCCACAAACTTATCCAGACTATAATTCTCATCCATTGTAACAGTATTTGCTTTTCTATCAAAAGTTAATTTTCTGACCCAACTCTTAACCTGCGCTTCTTTAGGGTAAGCGCCGGCTATATCGGCCTCAAACTCGGCACTTGTCTTATTATAGGTCACGTTTTTGGCCACATATTGGGCGCCGGCCTTTTGCTGAACGCCATTAATGGTTGGGGTGTTATGCCATTGGGATTGCATCGTCCATATGTCATAGCGATGGGGACCGAAGGTGTCCTTAGTATAAGTTCCCACTCCTATATCTATTAAAGCGGGTAATCCGTTGACATAGAGGACAAAGTTTCCGACGTCGTTGTGGTTATGGCTCTCATCTAGACATTGAATCAATTAATGAATTATAAATTATAATTTTCATTAATTATTAATTAGTAATTTATAATACCATTAGTTCCTGCCTTTGCTCCTAAGAACAGTCCTTTAGCTGAACCCTCTTCTGATCGCAATGTAATCACTTGGAGGTCAGGAAACCACGACTCCAGAGGTTGTGGAGCTTTAGGCACTTCTGACTTAAGAGAGTTATAGGCAATCATTTCCATATAAAACTGATGCATACGAACATCAGTACGACTTTCATCTCCTAATAAAAACTTTTCGTTTCCCTCCAAAGCCATCAAATAAGATCCGAATTGTTTCATAACTGTGTTATTGAATAGTTCTCCGTAATGATAGACCAAAGAGGGATCAGGGACATTCTTTGCATGTGCGTCGGCAAAGTTTACGAAATAGTCTGCATTGATGTGCATCTTATAGATGTAATCACCGATACTCTTGACTATAGGTTTGGACGACCAGTCCATTTGGTGTCGACTCGCAGATGATATGTAATACAAGAATTGTATGAAACGTCCGGCGGCTTCGTACCAATAACTCGGTCCCTCATCACACCCACCGTCCTCTCCATACCAGTCCAACCAATTATCTGCACTCATGACCGCCCTTTTGATGACATCTAGTCTTTTGGTGTCGTTTACTGTCAGAAGACTAGTCATCAGTATATTAGTATTGATCCAAATGTTCCAATTGTTCACTTTCTGGCGCTCAAAACCCATCCAACTCAAGTCATTGTTCATAAATGTCTCGACAACACGTCTGTCCAACTCATAGTCCATACGCTTTACAAACATTGGCGAGAGTTTTGTGAGTTTATCGCCTAAATTGATAGCAAATATTAATTACAAACATTCATTTATTTTTAAAACCAATTAAGTTTTACCAAGAAGAAATCTAATCCAGGCCACGTATGCGGATGACTCGCCAGCCCCGAGATCTAAGACCCACTGTGAGGGGTCGGGCATACCTCCACCGCCCTTTTGCATGGACATGTGTGCGGGCCAGGTCCAGGTGCTCTCCTCCAGTATAAGCCACAAACCATTTGCTATTTGCTCGACATATGTCTTGTTGTCGGTTAACAACTCTCCCAAAACCAAATCCATGAGTCTATTGCGGCGTTTGAAGTCTTTATCCTCGTAATGATTACGATTGCCATCGATTTTAAACTCCAAGAATTCCATCGCCAACAGCGGTTCCCATACAGTCTTTGACACATTGTCTGCCCTTTCAATGAATATTTTCTTTA